TTTTATTTATTTATATGTGGTGCTGAAGATTAGAACCCAGGGCCTCATCATATGCCAGCAAGTGTTCTCTCACTGAGCCACAACTCTAGCCCTGAAAGCCTTATTATTGGTAAAATGCATCCTGAAAGAGTCTGGGTTTGTTGAAGGGAAGGATTTTTTTTTTTCTTTCTCATAATCCTTGAAGGAGTTTAGCAAATGCCCTCCCATTCCATCTACATATGGAGCTGCCTGGGGAGAAGTAAAAATAAAAGCTGCACTTCAGACCAGGGTCAGGACCTCTGGGAGTGGGGCCCAGGCATGCACAGCGTTCAGAGCTCCGGAGGGAGCAACCAAGTTTGTGAACAGGGATCTGCACTCAGCTTTCACCACACAGAGACAATGCAACCTTGCACCAAACCTCAACTCTTCAACTGTACTTTATATTTGGAGAAAATGCTTCACTTGACACTCCAGTTCCCTGTTTGTTTTATCTTTCCACTGAATGCTTAGAGATTTGTTTTGCTTTGTTGTTTGTTTGGTTTTGGGACTAGAGATTGAATTGAGGAGTGCTCATCCCCAACCCCAGTTTTTATTTATTTTGGGACAGGGTCTCACTAAATTGCCAAGGGCCTTGCCAAGTTGCTGAGGCTGACCTCGAACTTGCAATCCTCCTGCCTCAGGCTTCCGAGTCACTGGGATTACAATTGTACACCCCTGTGCCTGGCCGAGGACTTGTTTTATCCTTCCCCAAAACGGGTTAACCAAGTCAATTCTTCCTGTATTGTGAACTGAGTTTAATTCTGTGTTGTCCTTTGTTCTGGCTAATTGCTTTTTTGATTGCTACATTACCAAATCAAAATTAGAAGCACATGTCTGTCAGTCATCTACCCAAAGTGGAAATGCTACCAGAAAATTCATGTTCGGGCTTTATTATGTTGTTAGTAGCACATCCTCATTCTTAACTATTTCCTGTTATCATGAGGCACAGATGGGGAAAAGAGAAAATTAAAATAGGAGCACAAGGTGCTTGAGTTGACCTTGGATCCATAGTGTCATAGAAAGGAGGAAGCACTGGTGTCCCTGCCCCTCCTGGCTGTCCTGAGCAATGCATGTTCTACCTTCTGGTTACAAAAGCGAATAGCCACTGCATCATGACTCCTGGATTTCAGGTCCGAATGCACCAACTCTTGTGTCAAATCCAGTGCATGGATTCTCTTCTTCTGGTATATATCACATCTGTGAAATGTAAAACATCTTTAAAGACAAAGAGAAATCAAAGGAAAATAAGTTTTCAAGAAGTAAAACCTACATGCCCATATTTCTCATTACTTAGGAAGAGCCACCCCAGTGCTCCTCAGATAATCTAATGGAGATAATGTCCATTTTCCTCTTTGCATGCTCTTCCTGCAATCCAGAGGTTTTCTTACCATCCTATGAATTCTTTACTCCAGATTACTTTAGTAAAAGGAGCTTCTAAGTTGTTTTCAGATCCACATCTTTTTTCTTCTTTCCCATTTTTTTTCAGTGACCACATCCCCGTGAACCTGTCCAATATCAATTTCTGAACCCAAACTGCCTTTGTTGAACTTGACTCCCCGTCTCCTTCTAAAATCCTTTTTTTCGTTAGTTAGATAAAACCACTAACAATTGTTATCTCTAATTCACTAAGTCCCCAATTTTTAATTCTGCAAATATTTCAGTGAAATTGACACAGATGCATTAAAGTAAGTTAGAAATTATAATCTAGAGCTTCTATATTATAGTATTCATTGGTATTAATTTAAATATTATAATTATTGCAAAATAATTTTTATCTGAATATAATTATATTGTCTATGATAGTTTAAGTTTTTATAGGTATTCCACATCTGGGATGTTAGGACAAAGTAGATTCAAGGGATAGAGAAGAGGCTTTCCATTGCCACCCACTGCCAGGTCAGAGCGTGAGGGAAAGACAGGACTCGTGAGAGGCTAAAACACTCAGCTGTCAACGCTGCTTCATGGGCTCAGATCTAGAATGTCCTGAAACTGTGATCAGCCACGCTGTTGCAGATTCGGGTCTTAGTGAGTTTAGCAGATGCTGGCAAGAGAGAATGAGCAGCTTGCTCAAGTAAGAAACCACCTGAAGGTAAAGACAGATTGTAATTTTGTAATTTGTCCAAAACACTTGGAGCTGTTTAAACCACAAGTCCTGCTAGAGAAAACACTTTAATTGTGAAGCACGGGGGACACTGGTTATTATACTCTCACATACACAAACTGTAAACAAAAAGATGAAAAAAAAAGTGGAGGTAAGGGAGGAGGGAGAAAAAGCTATCACAGGGACTTGGAATTAAAGCTCTGCTGTTTCAATAGGAAAGAAGAATAAGCTGCGAGTTTACTACCTTTCATGGTTAAGAAACAGAATATTACACAATGATCCAGAAGTGGAAAAGAAGCAAGGCTGGATCACCGTCGGGGACCTGGAAGGCTGTATACATTACAAAGTTGGTAAGTCTCCAGACACGGGATTGCAAATTCAGTGTATTTACTTCGTCAGAGTTATTCAGTTAAGTTTCATTCAGTTTTTCAGTCAGATATTGATGATGCCTGTGTGACCAGCTTAAGATGTTGCTGGAACCTAAAAGTATATTCAAATTATTCCCCCAGAAGTCAAATTTGTGAAGTTCAAAGGAAGCATTCAGAATTAAGTCCTAGGCTCCAGTTTGAACTTTTATAGGTACTTCCTCCCAAGGACACATTAAAAGAATAAAAATGAACTAAGTCTACAAGGTCAAAGGGACCAAGAGGAGAGAAGCCAGCAAATAATAGATGTCAATAAAAGTGAACAAGAGGAACAGACCTAGCAGACCAGGAAATGCTAAACCTATAGTTGGGAAAATTATCAAAATAATCCAGTCACTCTGCAGAACGMAGAAAGGCAAAGGGACTGAGGGCCCAGGAGAATCTGAGGCAGAGTTATAAGGTAGGTCTGAAAAAGGAAGGATTTGGGGAAAGCGGATCAACAGCAAGGCCTCCAGGACCCAGGACCTACCCAGCAGGCAGGGTGCTCCCTCCCTCACTACAGCAAAAGAGGAAAGGTTTACATGGCCAGTTGATGCCACCATCAACTGAGGACATACATATGCATGACCCTCCCTTTGCCTCTTTAGCACCCAAAGTGTTGGCAACTATGATGATGATCATATTCTCAAGGAAGAGTTTGAAAGACTTGTCTTTGAAGAAACTAAATGGCCAGAAAGAAAAGATGTACAGGTACTAACATTTGAAGTCATGAAGAAAAAGGTCTGCTATCTAGCTACTCAGCCAGCAATGAATCTCAGCAGCTGATAGGTCTCCTATAAATAAGTGGAGACATGGAACATGAGGGAAAGTGAAACAGAATGTAAGGACCTTAGAAGAAACAAAGATAATGAGGAGTGAAGAAAATACAGGGAGGAAAGGAAGGAAAGAATTTTAGAGGATTAGAAAAATTGTTTCAGTAACAGAAGAATAGGGCTGTTTAGAAAGGGAGAGCAGGTGGGGAGAGATCATTAAGAAACCAATCTTACAAACTGTCGCATATTGGCAGAAATAAAAATTTTAATAGAAATGTTGAAAGATAAAGATGAGGAAATGTCCTAGAAAGAAGAATAAAAGAAAAGGGAAAGGAAAGAAAAAGAGAAGAAAAAAATGAACCCAGATGTTCAAAATCTGAGTCTTAGAAAAAAGGGAAAAAAGAAGAATGTAAAAAACTTTTCTAGAACCGAAGGCCTTGACATCCCAGATTAAAAGGATTCTGAGTACCCAGTTTACTTACTTAAAAAAAAAAAAGACTTCAAAGAAGGCCCACCAACTGGATATTTCAGTACCAAGATGGCAGAAGTCCTTAAAGCTTCTGTATTCTAAGTAAATTGATAAATATTTTATATATAGTAGATACAGAAACAGAGGCTTGGTATTTCTCAACAGCAATCCTGGAAGTTTAAAACTTCTGCCTTCAAAATCTGAAGGCAAAATTATTTCCAACTTGTGTTTTGTAACTGTCAGTATTGGGGTTCGTGTGTGTGTGTGTGTGTGTGTAGAGATGTATTATAAGGAATTGGCTCACGTGATGATGAGACCATGAAGTCCCTGCAGTCAGCAAGCTGGAGACCCAGGGAAGCCAATCTTGTAGTTCCAGTTTAAAAGCCAGCAAGCTCAAGACCCAAGAAGAACTGGTGATGCAGCCTGAGTCCAAAGGCCAGAAAAGACTAATTTCCCAGCTCAGTCAGGCAAGAGGATGCAGACTTTTGCTTTTATCCAAGTGTTCAATTGATCAAATTATACCCACCTATACTGGGGAGGACAGTCTGCTCTCATTTAGAAATGCCCTCACAGACACATGCAGAATAATTGACCAAATATTTGGGCACCCTGTAGCCCAGTCAAGTTGACAAATAAAATTAATCATCATATCATCAAACCATTGATCAACTTTGGTGAACACATTTTCAGGTATGCAGGGTCTCTAAAAATGAAAATTTCATACACCATGCTCAGTAGCTACTAGAAGATGTGTTCCACCAAAATGAAGAACTAAACCTGGTAATCCAGGAAAAAGATGAAGAAAATACCCAGAATAATGGTGAAAGGAACCAAAATGATAACTCTGCCACTAACCTGGAAAGAAATCAGTCCCAACTCGGCAGGATTCCAGGAGAGTGACTTCAAGAAAAATAAAATGGTACCAATGGATTCCCTGCTGCGGTTGGCCTTGATGAAAGGCATGTCTTAGCACAAAGTTTACACATGCTTAGAGTAGGTAAAATAGGGTAGTGAGGAAAAAATAAGGAAATGTAATTATGGTATATCACATGCCCCAGCTGTGAACATTGACAATCTGAACACTTCATGTTGCTTTAACCAAAAATATAAACACTAACTGTGTTGGAGGTGTGAGGAAGAAAGTGATTTATGTGTATGTAGAGATAAAAGGAGATTATATTAGAAACTACACCCTTTTCTTATTGTGAGGTTTGGTAGATAGTGTCTACAATTGAAGAAAATTTAAAAAAAAAAAAAGAACTGAATAAGCACATTACTTGGAAATCCGGAAATAAATTGCCAAATAAGAAGTTTAAAAAGTTGCAAGTATTTGTATGTGGGAAACAGGACTTGGGACTGAGGCAGGGACTTGTTTTTTATATGCCTTATATGACCATTTGACTTTTTAAAATATGTTTCTATGAAACATGTTCAAAGTTGATTAAAATTGAGAAAGAGAATGTGTGGAGGTTGTTAAATGTGACCTGGATAGGATGGATTATTTAATGTAAGGAGTGTCCATAGAGGGACAGCAGAGTAGCTTTCCACACCTTCACTTCAATAGTGTCTGTGACATAGTGATAGAAAAGCATGGTGCACAGTTGAAATTGTTACTTGAAGAGCTGGTCCAGTCGTGTGTGTTATGTGACAGAGGTTGAAAGCTACTTAGGTGTGTTAAAGACAGAGTATGAAACAGGGCCATGCTACAGAAGAGCTCAGAAAGCTAGAATTTGGTCATTTATCCTGGCCCGTCCTAGCAAGAACCCCAGTATGTTGTCTTCTGCCAACTAAAGAGGGGACTGTTCTGAAGCAAAGTCTTCATGTACCTTTCCTCTAATTTCATTTCAAGTGACCTTCCCAGATACCTTGACACTAGGAAGCATTGGTGCTATATAGTGAACTTGAAGGTACCAGTGCCTAAAGAGATAAACCCCCACTATTTATCAACATTATTTGGGTTTTATTTCTTTAAAATTATCCTTATAACACAGTGAGCTTATTAGTATGCATTTAAAGCAGGTGTTGAAGAAAATAAACATTAAATGCCTGTAAACATATGTGACCACAGCTGCAGTCAAATCTAGCGTAGGCAATGCACAGAGAAACAAGTTAAGTGGTATTTCTAAAGACAGGAATGGATGCTCAAAAGATACAGTATTATTCACAAACTAGACCACATGGGGGAGCATTTTTCCATAGCAAGCTGGGAAGGTACAAGCTCTTCTCTGCTCCACTGTGTATTTTTGTGGGATTCAGAATTATTCAGTACTTGCTAATAAGATACCCTAGAATTCTAATTTTTTTTCTTGTTTGTAATCTGATTATTTGGCAAAATATCAAAGAAGCATCTCATTATTCTTACCAGGAAGAATGCAGATTCATATGCCCATTTGGTCTTCTTTTAGAGTGTAGGCTTCTTTKGGGGGAAAATAGACCCTGCATTCATAGGAAAACAATGTAGTTTAAGTACTACTATGGAAATGGTTTGAAATCTATTTCTAGATACTTCTCTCAGAAAACTTTTAGGATTTTCTTTCAGTATTTTACCTTTATTACTTGGCATTTGTAATATTCCTAGTGATCAAATGTTATGTACAAAAACTAATATTATATAACTACAGAGCAATAAAATTCATTACAGGAAATAATAAAGTTTGTATGTGTTGTCTCTTGCATATACCTGGCAAGTGTTCTTTCAAAACTCTGAAGCTGCAAAAGTCTTTGGCAAATGTTAGACGGGCCAGTGCGAATCTGACCTCTTCCTCCTAATTATTGCTATCTCTTTTCATTGCCCTAACATTAGAAGACTGACGTATATGGATACATGCAAAATGAAATATAATCAGAGAGCAATAACTGATCATTATCTACCAGAATATTGAGACAAGTTTAATTTTCAGAACATTTTTTGCCTCAGTTATCCAGAGAACTACTTTGGGCTCCATTTTGCTTTCTTTGAGGGATTTCGGTCAAAACACTGAGATCTTTTTATAGTGCCTGGTTACTTTAGTATACTCAAATTTCCATGAAATTTTAAAAACATAAAATGGGAGAAAACAGAAAAACAAGTTATATATCCAAGATTCATTTATATTTATCTATTGCTCTTAGCCGATACATATTTTGATACACTTGTATTTTCAAGGTTATTTTAAGCTTTAATCTTGAATCTTTGCATAAGTTTTAAGTGAGAAGATTAGAGAATAGTCTCATAAAGAATTCATATAATGAAAAATTGTGGAGACAATTGGAAACTTAACATGTCATCTAATAAGTGCATTAGTATTTTCCTACCCAGTTTCTTCAGGATAGAGAATATTCTTTTTCAACAGATATTTTATGAAGAAAACGCCTGGTATGTGCATCAGTTGTAGATTACAGACTTTCTAAGAATTAAAATCTACATTTAATATTTAAAGATCCTGAGGCATTTAAAGGATTCTGTAACCTCTCAAGGTCATCACTATAAATATCAATCACTATGATATCAAAGACACATAGGCCACAGAAGATCAGACAACAAAATATATTCTTCCATTCAATAAACATTATTATTACTTTGTATAAGGTAAAAATAAAATAGACAACAATGAAATTTTATCAAGATTCTATCCATGGAATTTAAAATGTTTAATATTGCACTTTCCTAGAGAATAAAAAGGAATTGGCAAAGTATGTGAAACTCTTAAAAATAGGCCATTATCAGAATTCAGATCTCCTGATATTCCAAAATTCAATACAAACACAAACAAGCAATTATTCTACTTAATAATTAGAACTTGGGGCTGGTGATGTGGCTCAAGTGGTAACGCACTCACCTGGCATGCACAGGACGCTGGGTTCGATCCTCAGCACCACATAAAAATAAAATAAAGATGTTGTGTCCACCGAAAACTAAAAAATAAATATTAAAAAATTCTCTCTCTCTCTCAAAAATAAATAAATAAATAGAACTCTAATCTGAATAATAAGCAATTGGCACCTTTTATGTCTCTACCCATTTGCATTTTTTCTATCACCTTGCCATACCAGCTTTAGCTACTTACATTTGGTTGAACCTAAAATCCAGGAAAAGTAACATAAAAGACAAAAAAAAAAAAAAAAAAAAGATTCTGCTGACTAGGTATGGTAAAGGTAGTGAAATCTGTATCTATGAAAAAAATCCCACGCCAGGAGCATCACCCCCAAATATGGAGTGTGTATATGTGTGTGTATATTTACATCTTGTGACTTATACATTCAATGATACAAATTATTGAATAAATTGATGTACTTTTTAATTTACAACTATTCTATTACAGTTAAATATGAAAGGATCAAATTCTTGGTGATTGCCTTAAAGAATGCTGTGGAGATATATGCCTGGGCTCCTAAACCATATCACAAGTTCATGGCATTTAAGGTAAGTGGGCCTGTGTTTGCTTGGTTTTCCGTATCCTCCAGTCATCTGTTCTCCACATAAACCAATACCAATTTTACTACATATGATAAATAATAAACCTATTTTGGAACTGTAGGAACTCATAGATTTATTATTTTTAAAAATACTATGAGATTAGTCAAACTAAATTTCTTTAAATATTTATTTTTTAGTTGTAGTTAGACACAAAATCTTTAATTAATTCATTTATTTTTATGTGGTGCTGAGGGTTGAACCCAGGGCCTCGCGTATGCTAGGGGAGCACTCTACTGCTGAGCCACAACCCCAGCCCAGTCAAACTAAATTTTATGTTTACCCTCCTTCATTTGAGATCTGCAAATCATCATCTGCAAGAGACATTTGGTACAGGATGGTTACCAGGCAAAGTATTGATTATGAAGCTGTGCAATGATATCTGTTTTAAAAGCATCTAGAGTGCTATCTGGTGTTTGGGCTCAAAAAGGCAGACCACTGGCAGCACTGAATCTCCAAGGTCTTACAATCATGAGCTTTTCTGGACCAAGTCTCTAAAACTCAGTTGATGCTATCTCCCTGTTGCTATTAGACTTCCCTGAAATGAACACTGAGTGTAGTCATTCATGGAAATGACCTAGTTTTTCTGCATTTTCCCAGGGGATTCATGAGATTGAGTGGGAGTGGGATCGGAATATGTTTAGTCCCATCTACCTCAGCTCATGAAAGCTGACCCCCAAATGCCAGAAAGACTTGTACTTGCAGGCCCCCTGATGTGTTCAGACTGCATAGCCAGTGTGATTTTATCTTCTGTTTTCTCTCTGCCTGTGTCTGTCTTTCTCAGTAGCTCTTTGGCCCTTGACTTTTCTCCATTTTTATAATTACTATCTCTCTTTGGCTTTTTATTTATTTTCTCCTGCCACATATGTCATGTGGGAGCCAAAGCTGTCCCTCTTCAGGGCTGAATCACCCCACTTCTCTGTTGTTCCCTTAGTGCAAGTGGCTCATTTGTGGTGTGCTCAGGAAGACAGATTGATCAGTGGAAATGGGCTCCCCTCCATAACCCCACTTTTATGGAAAGGAATTTTTGGAATGCATTAGGTTCATAATAACACTTAAGGGATGTCTCCAAAAATCTACTGTGCTGCTGCTCCTGTTGTGCCAGATTCTCTCGGTAAAAGCTTTTCAGTGGAGATCCCATTCCCATTCTGAAGTTGAAGTCACTGCCATCAGGTTACTAGCCAAAGCAATGAGAGAATGCAAAATGCTCTGTTCAGCAGACCCGCCCCAGCCTGCAAGAGGGAAAAGCAAAGGCAAGAACTTGAATAGGGAGGACTAGAGCTGACCCCTAGGGACAGGAGGGGAAAGCTTCCTATGCTGTGAGATGCTAGCAGAAAATGAGGGGAGAAGGGTATATTAGGTAGCAGCGATAGTATCACCAGGGCAATGGTGGTTTCCCCTAGATTTCAAGATGCAGTAAAGGTAGTGTGTGAGTAAGTCATAGCAAAGGAAGAGGAACACTCAACAGCTGGTTGGGGCTTTGGTCCACAGAAGCTCAGCTAGAACTTTCTAGTTAAACCTTAGTTGTCAATGCAAGTCATAAGTCTTGTGATATTTCACCTCCATCCCTTTCTCTTATTGCCCAAACCTAAGTCTTAGATCTCAATACTGAGTTTAGAGAGAGCCTCTCTGATTCCCACTCAGTAACTGAAGGAAAGTGGGGGCCAGAGCATGCTCACCCCAGGCTGTCTCTGAAAGGTAGCAACSACAGATGGGCCTTGCTGCCACATAGCAAAGAGAAGGGTCAGAGAGGTGGCAGGACCTTCTCCAGAGAGCAAAGGCCAGAAGTAAACAGAACAGCAGCACCCAGACACCAAGTTTTAAAGATAGAATGACACTATAAACATGGCTGTAAACCACCTTCTCTGCTGTAAACCCTGTACTGCCCTGAGGACCAGAGATGGGGAAAGGAGGCAAAAAGGGCTGATAGACCCTTCCTCCTGGAGCTAGAATATGAATAGACCTACCAAAGAGAAATATCCTGGCTTTTCAGCTTTTCAGAAATTAACTTAGTGGCTAAATATTATTCAGATAATGTCTTTAAATGATGTGGATACTAACAGGGTGATTTTAAAGTCTTTTTCAGATCTTCAGCACAAGCCCCTGCTAGTTGATCTCACTGTAGAAGAAGGTCAAAGATTAAAGGTTATTTTTGGCTCCCACACCGGTTTCCATGTAATTGATGTTGATTCAGGAAACTCTTATGATATCTACATACCATCTCATGTAAGTTTCCCAAAGTAGACTATAAAGGGCCTTCTGCATGTAAAAGATTTGTTTTGCACATTATTAGAAGTCATGCTAACCCTTACTAATTAGTAAAGCAGATAGACTTCTGGCCTTCACCAGGAAGACAGAATGTTTTTAACCCAACTTTTCAATTCTGCAGCTATTTCAATGAAATTTTCACAGAGGCATTAAAATAGGTTGAAAGTCAAAATCTAGAGCTTCTATGTATAATCATATTAGTATTATTATGTAATAATTATTATAATGTAATTATATTCTTATTACTGTTTTATTATACTATATATTATATCTATATATGTAACCTATATATATAGTAATATACTATATTTAAGTTTTTATAGGTGCTCCACATCTGGGATTATGGGACAAAATAGTTTAATAAGTAAAACATATAAATTTAGCTAATTTTTATTACTTCCTAAAACAGAGTAACATATAAAGAGATTATGTGACATTAATCTACATATTGTTTCTTTGGACTTTATTAAAATGTATTTTAATTTTTCCTTCAGGGCATGGATAAGTTTCCATTTTCAGTTTTGAATGGAAATTGTGTCATATTGTGTGGGAGAAAAACAATGATCAGATACTAATTTCCTGGAGAAAATCCCTTTTCAGCTAGTTTTAGTTCCTCTTTACACTATACTGCCTGGAGTAGCAGAGCTCAGCCCCTTGCCTTTATCTGAATGGGCTTTGCAGATGGACCCGTTAGACAGCTTCTGCAACCTTCAGCTTGCACGTCTGTCAATGGGAATGCCAGAACCTACCCCATAGGGTTATCATCAGCATTAAATTAAAAAATGGATATAACATTCATTCAAATTTGTAGTTGTTTTTTTAAAAAAATATTTTTAGTAGTAGATGAACACAATACCTTGATTTTTTATTTATTTATTTGGTGTGGTGCTGAGGATGGAACCCAGTGCCTCACATGTGCTAGGCAAGTGCTCTACCACTGAGCCATAACCCCAGCCCTGTAGTTCTTCTTCTTAACAATATAATATCCCAATTACTATGCTGATATTGCTGCCTAAAACATGACTCCTGGAGGGAACTGCTGCACAGATTCACTGTCTAGAACTGTGCAGTATAAATTGTGCATCCTGTGTGTGATCCTCAGGTGACACACAGAAGACACTGTCAGGAGAGTCTGAGGTCTTTTATGTTGCTGATGGTATGTGAAGAGTTTGGAGACTCTAAAGAAGCACAGTCACAGAAAAAGATTGTTTTAGTGCATTGTTGTACACATGCACGCACACACACTAGTCATTCATTGCTGCATTACGGCTGTTCATACCTGTGTGCGTGTGCACATAGAGCTCCCAACTCAGGCTCTCTGTGAGGGCATCACTGTGCTTGTTCCTGATCCCAACGTTCCTATCCATCTATCCATCAAGCACATACTGGGCTGCTGCGACATCCTCAACCAGGGATTATAGCAGCACCACATCTTCTAGGACAGGTCAGTTGACACTTATTTCAATTGTATGTTTTTTTTTTTTAATTAGTGCTAATTCTAATTTTTTCTAAACAAACCATTAATTTGGATTATTTTGGTATTTCAGCACCCAGATAAACAATCTGAGTCATGTACTCATAGCCTGCCTGGTGGGGACCGTCTTAGCCCCATTACAGCTGCCTCGCCTCATTCAGCTGCATTGCTTTCTCTTCATCTTTTTGGAAAGCCATTGTTCTAACAGAAAACACATGAATTTCAATGCCAGAAACTGATATGCTCAAATGCCAGTTCTCCCACCAAATACTAGCATAGCTTTGGTCAAGTTACCTAACCTTTCTGAGATACAGTCTCCTTATCTGTGAACAAAGATAACTCCCATGGGGATCTGTTCTAAGAGCCAGAGATCATATATGTAAAGGGTGCCTCACAAATACTAGGCACCCCATCAATACTGTGTTGTTGCTTTTAGGAACAAGTAAATTGGATTTGTTATCGAGCAACTAAGTCCATATTTATCATGGCATCCGACAGATCCGTGATTAAATTAAGCAAAGAAAATTGTAGAGTGAAAGTTTCCATAAAAGCTTTTTTAAATTGCAAGAGATGAAAATCAAGGTGTTGTCTTATTTTCAAAAAGAATAATGCATGGCTTTTCTTTGTCTTTCAGATTCAGGGCAATATCACTCCTCATGCTATCGTCATCTTGCCTAAAACAGATGGGATGGAAATGCTTGTTTGCTATGAGGATGAGGGGGTGTATGTGAACACCTATGGCCGGATAACTAAGGATGTGGTGCTCCAATGGGGAGAAATGCCCACGTCTGTGGGTAGGTTAACCATTCCTTATCTCCTTCAGCAGTTACACCCCCCAAATGAAACGAAAGTCAAGAAATGTGAAACAACCATTTGAGTCCACAAAAAAAAAAAAAAAAAAAAAAATCTGTGAATAACACTTGTAAGACTTACTTTGTCTGTTTATCTCAAGTCGTTTGTCATTTATGTGGTTAAGATGTGAACAGATGCTGTGAGTTATTGCCCATCTAATGTTTTTAATGCAGTTTTGGAAATTCCTTTTGACAGCCTACATTCATTCCAATCAGATAATGGGCTGGGGCGAGAAAGCTATTGAGATCCGGTCAGTGGAAACAGGACATTTGGATGGAGTATTTATGCATAAGCGAGCTCAAAGGTTAAAGTTTCTATGTGAAAGAAATGATAAGGTAAATCCGTTTCAACATTTGCATTAGTGTTTGCATTTTAAGAGACCACCAGGTACCTGTGAAACCTTCATTCTCCTTTATACTGATCTGAATCACCTCTGTGTTAAACAATCAGTAGTATCTTGAAATGGCATTAACTGGTTTGACTCATGTGAACACTCAAGATATATTACTCACATATCAAAACAAACATCTAGAAATTTCTCGTAAGCTCTTATATATAACTTCTGTGGCCTGCGGGCCTTCTGACAACTCAACAGACACCCCCAGATTCTCCTACGCACTTAGAGCAGTTGGCCCATCATCTTCATCTCCCAGTGGGTCAGCTTCACAATTCCCCTCTTAGACTCTTCACAAAGTCACTATCAAAACCTAACTCTACTCTTATATTCACCCGTAAGTGTAAAACATTTGACATGTATAAATATAAACTTTTGAAAGTTGTCACCCATTCCTTAAGAAATGCACAATCACAAACTCAACTAGTGCCATGTTCTGTGTCATTCCAGCCATGTCTCTTCTGAAATGTCATAGGGGGACTGTTCTCCAGTGGAATTGGCTGTGTCCATGCAGCATGATCAGTCGCTTCTGAGGGGTATCCTGCAGCAGTGCTTCTTCTACCGTGCCCTCCCTGTAGAGTAACCCAGTTTTTAGTAGCTAAGCTGTATTTGCATTTGTAAATCCCACCTTTGTGGCCAAGGCCAACAAAGAGATGCTGCCCCCGTGCAGCCGGCATAAACACCTCTAGGAAAGAACGGGAAAGGTTGGGCTGCTGTATACCTCTTCATTCACCCTGGGGCTCCCCATTGGCCAGGCTGGTCTTTGTCCAGCCCTGGTGGAATGGGCCTAGATTACATCCAACCCTGGCCAACTTCCCTGACCTGGTGTGGTCTAGGTGGACAACAGCTATGGGTGGCAAGGATGTACCAGAGACTGAGGAATATTATCAAAAAAAAAAAAAAAAACCCAGCTAACCTAGTAAGATTCCAACAGCCACGCAGTCTCTGGGATCACAGGATGAGGAGTGATCTGAGTATGAACACCCACACTCTGGTTCACTGATGACCCACTCTAGCAGGCCTATTTCAAGCCAGGCCCACACCATCAAAAGAAGGCTGGACCACACCAGTGTCTAGACCTGAGGTTGAGAGCCCAGGACACACAGCCTGGAGAGAATAGCAGCCCTTTCCTTCCCTCATTATGGCCTTCCATGGGTTCTCTCTGTCCTTCCCCATTTTGATTCAATGACCCTAAGAATAGCTTTACTTTCATATGTAGCATTAACTGAATGAAAAGCATTTCCACAGACTTCTTAAGAAGTTGTTGGGAGAGAACATTCTTCTGAAGAAGTCATGGAAATGAAGTAGCAGAGACTTTATACTAGTGATAAAAGCAAAATAAATGCCTTGGACCAAAGTTAGGTGTTGGCTGATGAAGGGCTATGCCACAGCCCCAATCCTATTTTCCAAGGGCAGTGGTTCATTTACATTCAGCTCAAGCAAGCAGTAACCCGAATTTTGCTCACTTCTCTCAGTCATTTGATAAAATGATTTAACAGGCTCAGACCTAATGGACTGTGGTTCTACTTATTAATGCCATTATCTGCTCTGGCCACAAATATGCCAGCATCAGCAGAGAAGCTAAGTGTTAACTCCYGAAATGCCACAGTAAAGAAGCATTAAACACTTGACTGTGTTTGAGCACAGCCATTGAAATTGCTTGATTTGAAATTTTAAAAATTGGAAATGGAAGTTATATAATAGTAGACCCAAAGTTTGCCCATGACTTTGGAAATTTGAAAGGATCCTCTTCCACCTTAAAGTCTGCCTTCATGTCATTTAGGAGGGAGAGAAGGGGAGCCTCTGTGCCTTTCTGAAAATCATCAAAGGACCTGTTGTGTCCCGGGCCAGAAGTCAGGACTTTTATCCTAGCAGGAAACTCTCTTTTAAAATGTGAGCATTCCAAAAGATGTCACAATGACATCCAGCCCCTGCAGCATCCCTGGAGGCCAATACCTTAATAGTAGTTGATATCAAACCAGAGTAATAAAGGCAGGTGTGTTTACATAGGCTGCACTGTCTCAGAAGGCACTTTATAAGCACTAGCCATTGAGTCTTAAGAGCTGACACATGGCAGGGCTAGGACATGTGAGAGGAAATGGATGGACGGTTGAAGAAAAGAGGGGAAAAAAACATGCAGTCGAACTAACTTGTTTTTAATTTCAAACAGGTATTTTTTGCATCCGTGCGATCTGGAGGAAGTAGCCAAGTGTTTTTCATGACCCTCAACAGAAATTCCATGATGAACTGGTAACAGAAGAGCACTTGGCACTTATCTTCATGGCGTTATTTCTAATGTAAAAGAACATAACTCATGTGGACTTATGCCAGTCTAGAGGCAGAATCAGAAGGCTTGGTCGAACATACCACTTTCCCCTTTTCCTCTCCCTCCACCCCTCCCGATACAGTCCATCTTTCAGTGTTGCAGCCCGGTTGAGAAGGAGAGAAAAAGGTGGCAGGAATGTCCAGGAGATCCCCAAGGATGCTGCGTTGTCCGTGGACAAAGATGGACCATGTGCCCTTCGGAGTTAGGGATAGAAACAGATATTGTGTGCTCTTCTGAGTAAGCTGTGTTATGGTGGCTTTTGAGGGTTTTTTTGTTTTGTTTTTGGTTTTTTTTTTTACCTTTTTTCTTTACTCCCTTACTTTGTAAGAATGGGGAGAGAATGCTCACTGAGAAAATGAGTCTGTTTTTAATTGTCTGCCTGCTAGCTTTAAGTATACAGTATGTTGTAAAATTTCCGATTTCCAATGGTGAGAGACAGCACAATAAATGTACTTTATCTCCTTTCACTGAAGGCCATCACTGCATAGTGGGGTGATTTAAGAACTCTCTTGCCTTCAGCAACCCCAAAGGTTGCTTTTTGATAGCAACTGGCTAATGAGTTTTTAAAAGAGAAGAAAAAATACTRGTTTTCCCCTCTTTGGGGAAATAGATTTTAAATGGCTAAACTACTAGCCTTAGTCTAATAAAATCAACTACCACTTTTGTGAGTCTGACAGGTCATATTTTTATATGGCCCTTTATAGAATGGAGCGTGTTGAATGGGATAGAAATGCCATTGAACAAGTTGGCCTGGCCACTGAGGCAGGGCTATAATGCACCCTTCCCTCAGCTATTATGCAACAGATCAGGGCAAAAGGGGACAACAGACGGAGTCAGACAGAAAGAGCCTCTGGGAAACAAGCTTATATACGTGTATATGTACACACACACACACACACACAAACACACATTGTTTTTTAAATGCACAAAGCGTCCCAGTAAGAGGTCACTTATTTGGGGCTTCATTTGGACTGAGACTTTGTTTTTGTGGGAATTGGGGAGTGGGTGACATCCAGGCTCTGGACATTCCCAGCTCTCTCCTGAGGGTGCCACTTTCTCAAGATGAAAACTGTGACTGAAAAAAAAAAAATCAATAACAAATGTTTCTGAGCTGCCAGTGTTCTCCTTAGGTCGGTGAGAGAAGGGAGTAGACTGCTAAGCCTGCCGCAGACAACAGCGGGCATCGTTGGCTCAGATTTTAATGAACTTGAAAGCAAGGCTTTGGCCAAAATTCTGAGACCCTAATCACTTTACCTTCCTCCAAATTACCCAACATACGGTAAACAACATTTGTGCAGAGATATGTATGTATTTAGTTCAGGTTGACTTGTGTCCTTATAAACTCTTACTCAAATGATTTGAACTTTTACGTGACTGTCTGGTATTTTTTTTCCAAAGCTACAAGCATGGCCGCCTGTGGTATCGAGGTGTTGCAAAAACGATATCTGTGTTGCGCTTCCTGTTTTAACCTACCTCGTTTTGTTTGTTTTTGTTTCACTGTTCATCACAGCAGTGTTATCTCCAGGAGACATATAGAGAGCTCAACTGGCAATCTCAGGAGTATAGACTATTTTAAAAACGAAACAGTAGTTGACCAAATTGTTCTTTAAAAATTGGGGGGCGGGGAGAGGGGGTCCAATGACAAAAACTAATATGGCTTGTTTTGGGAGAAAGCAATTACTGTGAATGGATCCAAAGAAAAATCTGTGATCCTACTGATTTTGCCTAAATACAAGAGCAGCTGATGTACTATTAATGAGAACGAAATATATTAGAAAACTGGTACCATTTCAATCCTGTGGTTTGGGGCAAGGGGAGAAGGGAGGGGAAATAATCTGATTTCCAGACCAGTTGATTATGCCCCCCTGCCAAAGGTGGTTGTCATTTGCATTTATTTTAAGCATTTAGCACACAGGAATGCAACTGAGGATCATCTTCAGGCAATCACAAGAGGTCCTCATCATGGTCCCTTTAGTTCACAAAAACAATGAATTGCTCCCGTTCTCATTTTTACTGCTGTGATTATGCTGCCGAACAACACTGTCTTCACAAATTCCATGCAACAAATTCAGCAATAACTTTTTGGACTGAACTTAACAACTACTGTATTTGGATGCCGATGTGGACAAAATGCATTGATCTGGTCTCATCCCCAATGTGATTGCCACCAGCTCTTTATATTGCTGCTGTGGTATTTTAAACCAGAGCTTCTTTAAATTATGTTGCAAACTGATCTTTGTTTTTATGTTTTGTTTTGTTTTGATTTCTAAGTGATGAGTTCGAAAACACACAGCTTTAAATGATTTTTTTATTGTGGGTTTTGGGTACAGTTAAGAAATAAAAGGGAATCATTGTGTTTAAACATAAGGTAGTTTGTGAATGTATTTTTTAAAATCTAGATTCATTGAAACAAAAAAAAATAAGAAAACAATATTAATGCAGTCTTGTTTACAGTATGTACAGTGACATGACATAGAACATGAGCTTTTCTGGTGCCAACAACAATAAAACACAAACGTTAAACATCAAGCCATGCCTTTTATATTTTTGTACAAATATCTTACAACTGAGTATAAGGCAAAATCAAATTTAAAAGGGACCCCCACAAATCTCCTTAAAACATAGTTCTGGAATTCCTTGAAAGTTTTATCTTCAAAAAAAGATATTTCCCTATCAGGACAGGGCCCAGCCATGACACATCCAGGCCTTGCTCATGCAAATTTTATCAGAATTATGTCCTTGTGGCTCATACCATCCCCGAGTTTTTGATTTGCTTTATTTTGGAGGGAGGGACGGGTGTTCTCTTCATTCCTTTTAATAGCATCTTAATAAAAATGTTTTTAGTTTTGATCTTCACACAGAAATTGGCTCATTTTTTTTTCTACAAAATTGGAGAATTGAACTCTCCCTCCCCAAAGTAAGCTTAACTAGATCTCTCAGTCTTCTTCACCGAATTGATCATTATACAGCAAAATAATCATCCAGCAAAATCCACCAAGCCTGCCCACACCATAGTCTTGGTCCAGGGTCTGGCAGGTGATCCTCGTTTCCGGTTACTGGTCAGGGGACTTGTTGCACGGGTTCCTGCATCCAGTGGGTAGTAGAAATGGATGAGCTATAAGGCCCCTTTGCAATGGGAGTCACTCGTCTCCATGACAGTTTCATTCAGATGCTTGTCAGTGCACACAATGTAGAGGAAGACAACTTGTACTACACTGCACATAAAATCTAATGACTGTTTGGATAGATCTCATTTTTCTTGGAGACTCAAATAATGCTTCAAGAAGACCCAGAGCTATTCACTTATTGGACAGGGTAGATTAAGGCATGGGTAAAATCTCTCAAGGCCACTTGGACAGGAGCTCCATTTTTCTAACACTTTTGACATCACTTTCTAAGCTGCATTCCTAACACACCTTCGTCAAGAACACATTTATTAAAAGCATCCTAATATCTGGTTGTCACGAACTACTAACAGTTTTCTGTCTGCTCTTGTGACTCATTGGTAATTGGTGTCTCTGGTCCCTCCTGTGCTATAGATTAGAAAGAGGTGTAATATTAAGACTGGAGCCATTTTGGTATTATGTGTTGCCCAAGGAGGAAGGGCTCAAGTCTGACCTCCCGTTCCAAGAAGTTTAAAAAAAAAAAAAAATGCTAACCCTACCACTATGTGTACCAGGTCCCGTCACTGTATCCTTGAAAAGTGGAAGAGCTCTTTGTGTTAGTAGTGTGTGCTGTCTTTGAAAGTCTGCTTGAATAGGCATCACTTGCATTTGTGCTGGTTGCTTTGAGATGTAAGATGTGCTGCATTATTTTTAAGAAGGAATATGCAGTTATTGGTCAAAGCTTAATCTTAACCTATAGCAGGAAAACCTGAGAAGATCCACAACATGCTGATAGCAATTCTGAATCACCCTACCATGCACCTTTCCATGCAAACCATCTGCTACTATGTTCTGACAATTTCAACAATTTGTATAAATTGTTAGGTACTTTTTAGTTCACTCCTCAAATATTTAAATCTATACCAAATCAAACAAAGCATAACCAACCGACCAATCAAGCAAAAACTGGCTTCTCCTGAGACTACATAGTACAACATAAAATCTAAAATCCAAGATTCAAAATTTGATTTACTTTACTTGTCAATATTGTCTCATAAATGCTTCTGTACTTTTGCCTTGGTCAACATAGCAATATCAGGAACTCCAAAATGAGCTGTCTTAAATGAGTCTAAAATAAAATGGTTATAAACTGATCTCTTTTCGGGAGTCTCAACAAAGAAGAGAATCTCTTGAGAATTGCACATTTAAAACTGAAAATCTATACATTTCTACCAAATATTTTCTAATACTGTTTTGATTTCCATACTGTATCTTTGTTCTGATATTTTTTCCATAGACATCTAGAATATTCAACAATTTGCAAAGCATTAAACAGTGTGAGATCATAACCTGTGCTTTGAAATTTATTCTCCTAGAAGTACCATTCCATGAAGGGCCAGACTGCACCAAATAAAAATCTCCAAATGAATATTTTTTAACAAAAATCCCTGGATAACATTTGAGCTATTTTAAATCCAGATCAAAATCTTGGACTCTATATCTGTGATGCCAAACATTTTGGATAAAAAATAGAAAATACTGTTAAAAATAAAAATGTCCTAAAGTTTCCAGATTTTTAGCTTTGGGTAGTTTTCCTCAAGCTAACTCACTCTTGGCATAAGAAGGTTTGGTTTTAATGGTTTATTTTTATCAGCATCAAGTTACATTGCATTATTGAAGTCAAGCAAATGCAGGTGGAAAGATGAGTTTTCATTTCTAGCAATGGATCATTATTTGTATATAGCAAATATCCATGTCCCAATTGCCCATTACCATTCTCTCTTCCCTTGGGGCAAATGTTAAGGAATAGTAATACATACCATGGCTTAGGAAAGCCCAGGCATTACCCGGAATCAGAATTTCAAATGTTAGGTGGCAGCATGGAAAAATAGAGTTGACAGCCAGGGAGAACTTTTAAAATGAATGTTGTAAAATTGTTTTTGTGCATTTCAGTTGTCTTACTTTTAATGTTAGCGTAACTGTAGAAAGATGCTAAATTTATAATATTAGAATGGAAAACTCATTTTGCTGTGCCAGTGATTAGTTATATCTTTTCAATCTTCAGGTTTCAAAAGTGTTTTAAATTGTCAAAAACCACTGAGATTAAATATTGTCATACCTATGTATCTTCCTGGCATATTTTCTAATCTGAAACTTTTAGTTATTTTCCAGTGTTTTTTTCCCACTGCATACAAAAATTCTTCAGGATGTACTTTACACAGCTGTTCCAAGCAGTAGCTAGAAATGCTTTTGTAAGTTCTAAGCCAAGGCTTTGTCATACCCATGTCCTCGAATATATTATTTTATGCTATCTCTATCAAAATATAAATACTGAAACATTAATAATAGTAGGACACCTTTGTTGTTGGAGATTTCAGTATCCATTTAGACAATTCTACAAAGATCCTGGCTTCCTAATTTCCTTATCTTGTCCAATGAATTTATCATTATTGATTACTAATTAAGTGATAGTGAGCAGCTCTTCCTATTGGCTCCAGGGATGTTCTATCCAAACTCTCAAAATAAAGGCCATTATCTTAGGATATCCTTCTGTCTCTTGCATCAACAATATTTCCTATTTTCCTGCAAGACTTTGCTGCACTCATGCTGTGGTCTCTCCTGTGTTATAAACACCCATCTCCTCTAATCCACCCATCTTACTTGTCTGTACCCCTTGACAAAAAAAAAAAAAAAAAAAAAACTCCCTAGGAAGAATTGTGCATGCTTACTATCTAAATTTGACCCCTTCCTTGGTCTTTTGAACAACTCAAATCAGTCTTTCATTACCACTGCAGTAGCTTTTGCTAAGGACACCAGTGATCTCCCACACAGTCAAATGCAGTGGTCAAGTTGACTAACTTCATGCTGCTTAATTTATTTGTGGTGTTTGACACAATGAATAATTACTTCCTTCCTGAAATACTTTCTTGGACCGAGGACATCCTTCTTAAGTTCCCTTACCACTCTCTTCAGTGGATTCTTGGCATAACCCAGTACTAGATATGCCATCTCTTTCAGTCTTGGGACTTTCAAAAAACATATGCACTGACAAAACCCATTTTTATCTCCAGCCCCAGCCCTTTCCTGAATGCCCGGATTTATGTCTAACTTCCTAGTCAGCATCTTCATTTTGATGTTTAACAGCATCTCAAAGTTGACATGTCCAAAACTAAGAATTTGCTCCTATCCATCAATATATAGCCCCTACAATCTTCCCTATGTTAGCAAATGGCTTCTCCGTTTTTCCACACCATAAAATCTTATTGAAACCCCGGCTCTTTCATATACCATACCTAATCCATTTTTWAAAAAATATTTATTTTTTAGTTGTAGTTGGACACAAAACCTTTATTATATTTATTTTTATGTGGTGCTGAGGATTCAACCCAGGGCCCTGCAGGTGCTAGGCAAGCACTCTACCATTGAGCCCCAATCCCAGCCCACCTAATCCATTTTGTAAAAATCAGTTTTTCTTAGCTTCAGAATGTATTCATAGTCCAGTGTGGGTCCAAGCCACTTCTTGTCTGACATCATGCTTTTCAAACACAGGCCAAGGTGTGTCCACTATTGGCCAAGTCCCTCAATACCGCCCCATCTTCTCCACAACATTATCTTCCTCCCAGGGCTGATAAGGCCATAGAGGTAATCTGCCATATCTTTTGTACCTCCCTATCTACATCCACCACTCCACCTGACTCAGGATCTATGCCCTTGCTGTCATCCAGTCTGGAAATCTCTTCCGTCCACATGTCTGTATGACTTGCTCCTTCCTTTCCTTCAGGTCTGTGCACAAATATTGCTTTCCTCTCAGAGACCTAAATAAAATCACCTCCAGCCACCACCACACCAGTCATTTTCTGCTTCACTACCTCTCTGGCTGTCTCCAGTACTTTAAAGAATCCCTGACAAGTAGCAGTCAGTAAGTATCTGTTGGATGAAAATTTTAAATGTCATTTTGGGATTTAAAAGCTATTTAATTTCAATGTTGAACAACAACAAAAAAAAAACTGTCTCAAAAAATTTATCAGAAAAGTGTTTTCTTTCATGTAGAAAATAGAAAACCCTCTAGACTTTCTTTTCTGGAACGCTATTGTAGATGGAAGGCACCTGACTCTGACCCCGTCTGTACTTTATAGCTCCATGTTTCATCTTTACAGACCAAGTGGCAGGGTTGGAAGAGAGGCTGTTATATAGGATCTGGAGAAAAGAGGCATTTCAAAACCCTTAGATGTATACAGATAATGATCCATTTTAAGCTATTTTCATTGCACTAAGTGCAGTTTTGGGATGTGGGGAGAGATTCTGAATTTTGTTTTCTGATCTAAATGTTTAAAAACCACAACAATTTTTCCCCCAAAAGAAGTAGTAAACAACAGTAAAATTATTCCTCCTCAAAAAAAGCCTAATGACATTTTGGGTCTTAATCTTCCAAGTGACCATGGTTCTGAGGCCTCTCTGGGTGGCCTCTAACATCTGTATATATTCAGCTTCACTGAATGTTGTTGCATGAAGTTTCATTGTAGGAAATTGACACATGCCTTCTGATGAATTAATTTATTGTTTCACTCAGTCTTGTAAAGGGCACACCTTGTAGTTTCAATTTGTTCAATCATGTATTTTCCTGCTCATTTAATAAAAGAAATATTTTAAAAAATAAAGAAAGAAGATAGTGAAATGATGTAATATGAAGCAGTATATGACAGTGAAAGAATTTTTTTGTTCCTCTATTATTTTCTGTGTCTTTTCACAAATCTGTTGAGATGAAGGATAATATATAATTCCTTCTAAAAAGCCAAGGTCAAGGTCTTAATCAATCTTTTCCAGGACCAAAACCATTTTGTGGTTCCCTGGTGCTTAGTTGCACATTCCTGAAATCTTTTAAGGCATTAGTCCCCAGGTGCAGATGGAGAATGTGAAACAGATGCTAAGAAATGCACAAAGTGTCAGTGGCAGTCCTTGTGGACAATCACTCAAGTTGTTACAATACAATAAATGTTTTCAAAATGAGTTCTCAATAATTTACATGAAAAGAATATTTTAGAGTGTTGTTTTTCTTTTTCATTGTATTTCACCAGCTTGAACACATATTTTTGTAGTTTCATAAGCAACTATGTCCATGTTTTGTGACAGTAACAACTTGATATAGGGTCACTGCCTGCAAAAAAAAAAAAAAGAAAGAAAGAAAGAAAAAAAGTCATGGTTTCCAAAATTCAAAGTTAACTTGCCAAGTGATGGCAGAAGTACCAAGAGCAGCAACGCCATGGTCTGAAACATTTTCCAGCCCTGCATCTGGCTCCATGATTCCAGGTTATCTTTTATTTTTAACCCATTCAATAAAAGAGGGATTTAGAGCTAGAAGCCATCACTTATGAAGAAAAAAAAACAGAATAACCATTCACTATTGGACTCCAATCAATCAGTGCAGGCCAAAGTCATCACCAGTCAAGGCAAAATAACCACAAAGGACAACACTGTGAGTTATTAAATCTCGCCAGAGATGAACTTATGTTACTGTAAAGATGCATTTGAGTCCTGATTTCTGGCCCCAGCCCCACCACCACCTCCCCCAAAAAAGAGGCATTTGAGAGCTGACTGTGATAAGCAGTAGCTGTCAGTAGCTGTTTATTTTATTAAATGTTCTGGTTTGGCAAAATTAAAAGTTGGAAGCCTTTTTGTTGATCTTCACAAGATTTGGAGTTGGGTGGGGGAGGCTTCAATTATGTTTTTTATATTTTCCTAACCAATGGGGTGGAGTATGTGGCAACTMTTGTAGACTACTTGTAAAGTTCTAGACATTTCTTCAATATTAAAATATACTGTCCATGTCCAAATCAATGGGGTAAATATAAATATAAAAAAAATCAACAGCATCACCCAGTACCCCACTGGTGTCCAAGATTTAAACTTATGTTGTTGGCTTCCACAAAGTAAGTGGTAACTAACCTCATGTGGCATTCCAGAAACTTCTACAGGCTGTAGTGCCAACCTAGAGGGAGCATGCTGTGAGATATAAGACGCTGAAAAGCTCAAAATTTATCAGCTAACTGCATCCAGGTCATCTTATTAGCCCAAGAAAGATTGGCTCCCAAATATTTTAAAATATAATTAGTTCCCATCACAACTACTTCAGCAATTTAAAAGCAAGAGAAAGTTCAATGACACTTTTCGGTGAAACTCAAAATATTTTTAAAAGCCACATTCATTTGAAAAACAATGCTTCTACATGAGTCACTTATCTACAAACAATGCATAGTGTACACTGCGATTGCTGGATCCCTTACTATATATAACTCCGAAACTCCCAGCCCTGTTGAAGTTCTAACTCAGAGTTTAGAAAACAAAATTATGCATTTTCCCTAAAATCTCCCATTTGTGACTTGATTTTTGTGTTTTATGTCGATGTTTCAATGTGGACAATGTTAACGATCATTGGTTCAGATCATTTTAATAAGGCTGCCTTAATCACTTTCAGTTGTCAAAGGACTCAAAAAAATCATAGTATTTACTTTGCCTGTTATATGTCATATTATTTTTGAAGTATTCAAAGCAGCTAAGATCTCACTTGACAAGCCATTAAGGAAAACTTAGCATGTTCTATTCATGCCACAGAAAGAAAGCAGCCATGCATTTATCAGCACCTGTTCTGTAGGAGGCCCCACGCTGGATGCTGGGGTAGGAACCACTGAGGAAGCTGGGCCCTGCACTTGAGCTGCAGTCTCCCCGTATTGCAGCTGAGATACAGAAGGCAGGGACGGGAGAGAAATGTGCTCTGAGGCAAGAACAAAATTCAGAGTCTATTTTCTGATAGAAGAATGCAGGAACTTATATGGAACCAAAGAGAAAGGGGCCTCTGCCTGGAAGGGCTTCAAGGAGGAGATGGCCTTTGCCAATTTATGGGAAAGGAAAAAAAGGTTTTCTAACCAGCAGGAGCTTTGAGCAAAGGCACAGAGGAATGGAAACAAATAGAATGCTCATGTGGGTGCAGAAGTGGCCAGTAGTTCAGCAAGACTAGAGAAAGTACTGGAAGAGCAGGAAAATAAAATCCTTCGAACACATGAATATACAGCACACTCTCTTGACCCCTATGCCCATCCTTCTGACGAGCCACAGGTGGTTCAGAATCCTGATTCAGCCAGCTGCCTGCCCCCTGGTGGGCAATGTTTGGTGAATAGATATCAGCATCAGTTAGGAACGGCCATGATGCCCACGTGTGGGTGGAAGCTCTCCCACTTGCCCATCCCCTGCCCCAGGAGTGGGTCGTTTTGCCTGTGCAGTTCTGATCTTTCTTTCAGTTGCTTCCTGTAGAACTTCCTGGAGAAATTTCCAAATTTTCTCACTGAACCCCAGCTTTGAAGCATGAAACTGTTCTGAGACTCAAGAGAGTTAAGAAATAACTTGCTCAAGATCTCAGGGTGAGTAGTTACAGAATAAAAATCAGAAGTTGGCTCTTTGGATTTCTAGGCTAGAGCTCTTTCTGCCAAAGCACTCCAGTGATAATGAGGGGATGAAGGGCATCTTTTTTTGAAATAAAGAACCCTCAGTAACATCTCACCAAAGAGCATTTAGCCTCTGTGACTTCACAATCGAGGCTATAAATGTCAATGACAGCACCCTGGGAGCAGGCTGAAATAAGAAAATAAATTGAGAAGGGGAAAGCTGAGCAATGGAACATTTTTCCTAAAATAAACAGAAGAATAGACT